GGCCAGACTTCTAGATACTCATTCCTGAAAATGCTCCTCCCAAATTTCAAGCATTGTACACTATTTAGCACTGGGGGTTTTAACTGTTTTTAAATAAAACCCTTAAACTAGTTCTTTAAGCACTCTTCTATCTGTGGATTTACAGAAGCTTTCAGAAAGACTAAGGTCATTATTCTCATCTTATGACCAGAAAAAGCACAACAGGAGTGGGGGGAATGACTTGCCCACAGCCAGAAGCAGGTTAATGTTGAAGCTTGAAAAAGAATCTCAGTTTCCATATTTTCAGGTCACTGTTTTATCCTCTGAGTCCTCCTGCCTTGTACTTATCAAGCACATCTTGTTTATAGTAAAGAAATTAAACTCAAAGAATAAAAGAATCAGTATTAAATAATTAACATCTCTCTTTTTCAATACTGTGCTTTGTAGATGAGGACAGGAAGACAGATGTGTCTTCAATGTTCAGTCTGTTGAACCTGAAAATAACTTGCAGACTGCTTAACCTAAATATAGTCATCAACTCCTGGAGTTGCCACCATATTCAGAGTATCTGCCATGCAGCACTACAAAAGATTCTGTAAAGCAAAAATCTGCTGAATGTGCTCATAAATATTAGAATATTCTTGATATGCTATGCTGAAAACATTCAATCTGAGCTGCAAGCAACTAGCGTTGCATATGAATTTTTGGAAAACGCTAGTGCTTGTATCTGGAGATACCACCAGCAATACAAAGTGGCAAGATACTGAAACTGGCATTACAATGTCTTACACAATTATTTTGGGTCAGAGTATCCCATTGTACATAAATTCACATAATGAAGTTCAGTACAAAGCACACTAACAATGGACTTGGCACAAACAGATCAGCAGCTGCGCTGGGAATTCAATGGAGAAAACTATTTTAATGCACAATGTGTACATAAAATTGTCTTTGAAAGTTGCTGTAAAATGCAAATAACATACATTAAAATTAAAATTTCTTAAAAGAAAATTCAAGTTTGCTTAAAATGTAAACAGAATCTAGAATCAAGGGTGTTTAAGAGCTGTGATTAGCTGATGAGAGGTGTTTTATGCAGATGATACAGTATCTATGATGGCACTATATCATTATTGCTTTGCTTTCTTTTTTTCTCCCGCACTAGCAGTTATAGTTCACAGACATAACTCTATACTTTCCGTAAAATCTTTTGGACATATATTAAGAAGTCACTAAGTGACAGAAAACTGGTCTTTTTCTGTGGCAGGAGGAAAAACGGAGCATATTATGATAATGCAGAGCAATGCAGGCATTACAGAATACAAACAATGCTAAACAGCATCATTTAAAGAAAACACAAAGCAATCATTGATTTTTAATATCTGCATTAAAGGTCCCCATTCTAAGTAATTACATTGTGTAGGAAAAAATCTTTAGATGATGTCGTGCCTATTTACAAGGAATTAGGAGAATATTACACTAACAAGTGCAGGAAAAAACATTTTCCTGTGACCATTTTTTCAAATACAATTCCTTCCTCAATATTTAAACCAGACATTACTACAACGGTTACAAAGAATACTGATTAAGAGAGAGAGGCTGGTTGGTTGTATTTTAAAGATAAGTCTTTCTTCCCTTCCATTTAGGGTGAATAATTGGCCAAACTCATCTTAGCATTTCAAAAGCCTGCCTGCATGCAAGTATTCCCACCTGAGGGCTTACTCTGGAGACCAGGTGAGACAGGCAGAGGGTTTTCAGAAGAGGGGAACGAGCCTATATGCCATAAAATATCAACATTGTAAAGGAAAAGACTATTTTTGGACCTGGGGAAACCACTGGCAAGGTCTACCTATGGATGCAAACTTTATTCATGAATCAAGCAGCTGTCAGGTGAGATGAAGCAGATGATGATGTTCTCTAACCAGCCATCATCTCTAGGGTGAAGCCTGCCTTAACACCAGGGCCAGTGCAAAGACTCCCATGAGGTGTCTTGCTTTTGCATCAAAATGATTATCCTGCCCCACAGAAGAGCTGCCTGTTAACCATACCAGCAACCCATCAGGTCCTACCAGTTTCCAGGTATTGCTGAAAATGGCAATGCTTGTGGTTTTGCAGGGCAAAGTCTGACTTACTCAAGCGAACAGATCAAAGTCAAAGCAAGAGAGGGGAGTGAAGCCCCTCACAAAAAGGGAGCTAGATGGTTGGAAGGGAAAACCTCTTTGCAAGATCAAATGTACAGCCACACAAGTTTCCATGGTGGTCAGTTTTGAACCCTGCTTGCTCTGCCTCAGCGTTTGAATGAGGCTGGAAATGTGGACTGAGACCCATCACTGGTTCTGCAGCACTGCCAAGCCTAACGCTTGTGCCCTTTGCCACAGGACAGGAAGATGTTGAGGAGCCTATTAACCTTCTGGCTACATCAAATCCTGTCACCGTCAATAACAACTATCCCTGCTTTACAGCAGGTGTTCAGTGACACCTGTGAAGTAGCTCTGGGATAGGAAGCACTACATGGACCCTTACTACAAAAAAAAACCCAAAACAAATACCCCAAAACAACAACAACAAAACAAACAAAAGACAAAAAGACACAATGATGGTTGCTTTTGTTTTGCGTATCTTCCAGTTCTACAAAAACACACAGAGGTCAACTGCCTGGAAGTTTACTGTCAACACTGGTCCACTAAGTAGGCAGAGTGACTTCAACCTTAACCAGTGACCTCAAACCACTTCCCAAAGCTGCCAGCCAGCAGCCTCCATTTGACCTCCTACATCTATACTCTAATATACTCTACATCTCAAATTTTAATTAAAAGAAAAAGAAAAAAGTTCAGCTGAATCAATTCAAATGTACCATTTCTCCCAATTACTGTGGAGTGCAGAGGCCATCATCATATTGCATCATTACACTGAGGAATAATCTAGCATGAAGTCCTATAAATTAGTTTAAATAGCTTGTGTGTTTTCATCCATAACAGCATATTTCATAAAGATATACCACTGCTTTTCTGTGTACAAGGATCTAAATTGAACAGGAGCATTATATCTATTTTATATGAACTTTAATGAGATAAGGCTGATACAAAACCCCCACAACCTATCTACAAAGTTTAAACTTTATACCACAGAAGAAAAAAAAGAGTTCTTATTTGGTAGCTGCACATTGGGCCCTGATGCTTTAGATTGCCTTTTTTAGAGGATTGCACCATATTGCTGGCATTTCTATTCAAAACAAGCTTGTGTTTTATAGAAAAGGGTTCAACATTTACAGTGACATCTAGAAGAACAGCACAAACTTCTGGAAAACTCTAAAATATAATTTACAACTCCATCTAAGGAATCATCCGTTTTAAAATAAATTGTAACTGCATGAAAAGAACAACCCAATCCCTAGATTTTTATTAAGGGATGTTAGTTTAGGATACTTTATACCAAACCCCAAATACCTTAGGTACTTTTGTGTCCTGATAGTGATCACCTTTCCAAAAAAACTCCCCCAAAAACCCCAAACCACCTAACTTGGGATAAACAAGTAAGAATTCTCCTAGAACCTGTGTTGCAGCTGAATTCTCTAAAAAATAAAATCAATGGCAGAGTTCTGTCAGTTTTGTTTTGGATCACTGGTGAGTAAATACAGAATGACTTTCACCTCTTGAAACTTCTCAGTTTCATCCTTATGCATAGACTTGAAGGGACATTTATGTGTTTGGCTTCTTGCATCAATTCAGAGGACAGAGTTACTGCAAAGATTTACATTACTGCAGGTTTGTAGCGATGGGGCATATACAAGAAATAAGCTTTTATTGCATTTATTTTAAATTTCACAGAAAGGAAAACATAGTCTTTTGGTATGACAATAGCCACCATGAAATTTGATTTGTATATTGATTACATTATGTTTTATTTAAGCAGAAATTCTTTTGAAAAAGTTGAAATTTCAAGATAAATCACAAAATTGACCTATCCATCCAGATGGTGTTTCTCCTGAACTGATTATGCATTTCAATTTGCTGTACCCACTTTAGTTTGTATTTATGACACACGCAGTGCACCAAGGGCACTTACTGAAACTCAAAGTTAATTTGAGTAAACCAGTATTTTATATACTACTCTCCACACCAAACTCTTTATTAAAAATGGGGAAAAACCAATTTTCATTTCTCCAATAATGCGTAAACTTGCCTGTAAGAAAGATGGCACTTTCTTTAAAGCGGACTTACAGAATTCTTTAATAAATAAACATTTTTTAAAATCTTGATGGCTTAGTTTTACTGTTACTCATTACTCTGCTGAAGGTCTTGGAATCACAGGTGGATCAATCCTTTGGTGCAGACAGGAAGGCGAAGGACAGATTTTTAGGAACTAAGCAATGCTAATTTTCAACTAAAAGTACATCTTACTGGCAGCCTGAGTAGACCTCTGAGCTTTTTCTCCACTCCTGCCAACAGCTTTTTTCTCATCTTTTTTGAGGTGCAGGCTGAGTTAATTTTGGGCTGGAAGAGTTCCCTGAACCTGCATGCAGGTGCGAAAAAAGAGGACAGCACAGTGCAGAGATAGATTTAGATGGCTGAAAATACTATGGGTCACCTTGGTTTGAACTGCACCATGTGTTTCCAATAATTAATGCAAGTTTCAAATCCCTAAATTCCCAGACATGTCACTGTTGTCATACGCAACACTACTCCCATTCATCTGATTTTTCTTGTTTTATTTCTCACTTTTGTTATTCCAAAACATTCAAAACAGGAAAACATTCAGTCTCCAAATCAATTTTAAATATATAGTCTGGATTCTTATAATTGGGTTTTGTTAGGTTTTCATCTTTTTATTGAGTTATTCCAAGCTGGTAAAGAGATTTCTGATTCAGTAGGGTTTCAAAACCTTTTTTTTTTTTTTTTGGTCTTGGTAAAATTACCTTATTACTAAAGATACCAAACCAGGTTATAATATAGTTGATTTAAGACTGCAAATATTTGCCTGCAATACCAATTATAAACAATAGGAATTAAAATTATTGTAAATACCTGTGGTTAAAGGCAGATGAGTGACACTAGTTAGACAGGTGAGAGTGAACCACGTTGATGCCAACGTTGCTCCAGATAAAAGCAGCAGCAGGATAAACTTCAGCATGCCCCTGATAAAATCTGCAAATCTAAAATAAAAGCACAGATCAGAGCAGTACAAATGCTGATTTTCACATTATTTAAATGTGATGCTTGATGATTAATTCAGTATATTCTCATTAAACATTTTGAAGATGATAAAAACAATTTTAAAATTGTTTCTCATTTTTCTAGAATGGTGATATTTCTAGCTGTCAAGCTGAAGAGCCGTGGATTTTTTAGCTGTCACAAAATAACAATCAAAACAGAAAAATTCTCCAGGCATCAAGTGAAAACACTTGCTATACAGGAAGGTTTTTTTTTTCTTCTGCATTTGTTGGACACAACATCATACCTCTACTTACATCGCTGTTTTGTCAGTGTTTGCTCGTCTCCCTTGGCAGACACCCTGCTCAATTAGCATATGAGGAGGCTGCTGCATTTCATTCAAGACATACTTAAGTGTCAAGATTAATTCCTGTGGGAAATGACAAAACTCCAAATACCAGAATCCCTAGATCCAAGATGACAAGGAACAACTCCCGAACCCTTGGATGCTTTGACGATGAAATCTTCGATGGCTCAGGCAAAGCAGGAACAATTTACACAGGTGGCAGAGTTTGTTTTGGGTTGAAATGTTCCAGAAAGCGAGAGCCTGGTGCCACTCCTCTCCTTTATACATGCCCCACTGACAGTCTGGGGGACAACCTCACAAGTCCTTGGGCAGTCTGACTGTTACACAGAGGGAAATATTATCTTCATACCTCCTTTTTCTTTCAAGGAGATGGAATGCATTTGAGCAGCGCTCACATGGCATAATTATCAGTTGAACTGCTCTTTCAAAAGGAATTTCAAACACAGCTACTAAAAAAGATATATTAGAAAAGGCAACGTCATTTATCCACTAGTAATTTTCTATAATCTCCTGCTTAGGAGATGTGTTTTTGGTCCAGGTGTGTTAGGAGGTATGTACGTCCAAACAATGTCTTCTGGACTCATAGTTTTCTACCTCAATTAGGCTAACGGCAGCACAACCCACCTAGGTTGGTCTGTGATGAAATCTGTCCTGTCTGTCAGCGAACTGCCTTCCCTCCCCTCACAAAGATCAGTTTGCAGGCAGATAGCATATAGCTTACTTGATAAAACAGATAATGCTACCAACGTTTTCAGAACTAGGAAGCCTAGCTCTACATACACTATAAGAGATGTACAAGTAATTCAATAAAGAAAAAATAAATTAAAAATCCGCTTCTTTCCTCTTATTTTGATTCTCCCTGTGCTTTAATTCCACATTGAATTTAGCAGTGAGTAATTCAATAAGCAGTAGAGGAAGATCAATGCTGCATATAATCTTAAAAGTTTATGACTGCAGCGTTCAAGTGGCTTATGCATTAATCTCTAACAGTCAGAGGTTAGTTTTTTTCTGACAATTCAAATTCAGCAATCAGGATCACCTCTTCTCAGTGGTTTGCCAGTTTCTTTAATTATTCTTTGGGATCACTGGGGTCAAAATCAGCAATTTTAAAAGCTTCTCAGAAGTATCTTGAAGTGCAAACTTTAGACTTCTTCCACAGAGACTTCCCACACTGCCTGCCAGCAAGCATCACTATTCCTACAGCCAAGAGAAGTTACATACGTTCTGTCTAATGAAACTGTGTGAGAAATCAGCCTTCAGGGAGGGACATTCACAGACAACAGGTCTGGAAGGGATCTCTGGAGGGTCCTCCATCTCTGCCCTACCACCAGGGATATGTGGGGGCAGGAGAACGACACACATCTAAACCATTCAAGACAGTTAAGTGGAGCAAGTATCTACCTTTACTGAGCAGTTGCAAGTCCTTTTGACACAAAGATCCTGGTTTGGGTATTAGTGGTAGCAGTGTGCTCCAGGGAGCCCTCAGATATCACAGGACTCCAGAAGTATCAAGTACAAACTGAGAGGTCTATGCAGCTACTGAATTCAACCAGCAATAGAAATAATGGGAAAAAATGACATAGCAAACTAGCCTGAACTTGGTAATCGAGGGACTTCTGCTTCTTGTCTGGCTACAGGAGAATAAAGAAGACTGTAAATCTAGTCAAATCTTCAGAATATTTGCTTCAAGCAAAAAATTAGAGAAATTTTTATCCTCTGACCACAGTATCTGCTTTCAAAATTCTCTGTTCTGTTTAAATCCTCCATCACCTAGCATGTGAGGGGATGTTTGCAGCTGCTAAAAAAGTAGGCAAGCCAGGGGAGAAGGGGTATACTTACACAGACACAGACCTTTGAGCCTACTGCTGGTAATAGTCTCCTGCAACCCAGAAAATCCAGCCCTAGGCTGGATCCTACAGTTAAAATCACAAATCTGCATTGCTGACAACACTGTCTGTTGCTAAGGAAATTATCACCATGTCATAAACTTTCAGCATTTTGACTACGTTGCAGGTTAAAAGCAGGAAGAGAAACTGAGCTGTGGAGGACACAACCTCAGGAATATCCATGTTCAATAGCAAATGTGGCAAAAAAAAAAAAAAAAAAAAAAAGGCAAAAAGAGTTAAGTTTCCATGCAATGATATGAATGTCGCTCTTTGACACTGCTCTTCTTCAAACCAGTATCTTCTGAAAGCTGTCATCAAAGGGCAGAGCACCTGCCAGTTGCCCAAAATAGCCAAGGCTTTTCAATTATAAAAATGCATCACACAAATTAGCTAAACATATCTAAGTTCATGGCTATCAGGTCAGCAGTGGGTGGAGAGCAGAGGGATTTATGTATTGTGCCGAGGAAAACTTGGACCATTTTGAAAATGAGATAGATAAACAAATTTCCAAACTGGCCATTAGTTTAAATATAGATGATTTAACACCTACTGTGATATGCACGATCAAATGCTCCAGGACAAGGCTCAGGTTATTACAGTTCTAAATGGTAGAATCTGCATTGACAAAAATGGAAGGTGCAAATTCCTAACCTGCACCAATTTTGCTTTGATAAATTATCAGGAAAAAAAAAGAGATTAGGACAAAAAATCCCAAAAACAACAGCTTCTTGAGAGGTGGTTAAGGGAGAGAGAGCTGCTCGCTTGGCAAATCACAGTTCTGACACTGAAATACATCAAGTTGTCAGCCTTGACAAGAATCATTACTTAATTTTCCTAATTACAACTTTCAGCAGATTACAGTCAGACTCGTCATTGATTCAACCCTACACAGATAAATGCTGAATAGGCCTAGGAGGGAGAGTCATCCATCAGGAGTGACAAATCACCTCCTCCCTCCCCTTCTGTGTGCAAACCCTCCCATTTGAACTGTGTATCGCCCAAGTTAGAAAGACATATTTGGAGGCAGACTGTTGGTATTTTTTTAATTTACTCAAAAGCAAAGCTCTGAATGCTACAAAACACTGGTATTCAACAAGGTTTGAAATCCGTTTTGAAGCAGTTAAAGAGACTGTCAGCATTTCCTGAAACTTAACCCAGGCAATATATTAAATAAATTAATCTACCATAAAGATTGAGATTTGCATATTGGCATTGAGTCAGCAGATTCTTTCCTAACAAAGTTAAGTGAGCTGCTAAGGGTGCCCCTCTACTAGTGAAATGTTGCAAATATAGGAGAGATTAACCCATGATGGAAAGGATTAAACTGGCACGCTACCTACTTCAGCCGGCAACGTGCTACAGCATCCATGTCATTTACAGTAGTTGGTTTTAAACTTCCCTTAGAAAGAAAACCTCCTATCTGAGTTTAGCTAATCAAAAGTGACTGATTTTAGAGGAAATCAGGGTGTGAACTTTGTTTCAATACATTAAGTCCTTCGGTCTGCATCTGGAGCAGACAGGAGGGAAGCGCTTGTTTCTTTTCCCTAGGTCAGGAGTTTTTTTCCTCTCCCTCCGTCACAGTTGCTAGGCAGCCTGCAAAATGTCAGGATGAGAAACCTCACATTTCTTTATGCATTGTGTACTCTGATGATGCACAGCAAGTGAAAAAAAAGAGAGCTTCAATCTCTGCCCTAAAAAGATGCCTCTCTGGGTCCACAATCCCACAATGATTGCAACGATGACAGACCCTTGCACTTCACTGCAGAACTGGAGTCTAACAAGAGGACATAAAGAAGACAGGACAATGCTTTGATATCCACCAGATGTCAGTGGAACATGCAATTGATTTTAATCAGTTTTATAAACTCACTGCTCAAGTATCTCCTGAAAGACTCACTCTTCCCCTCCTTTTTATTTTTGTTTTTGTTTTATAAAAAGCAAACTTCAATGAAGAAAATGCAGCAGCTTTCTGGAAGGGCAATCCATTCCTCGCCTTTCTGCTCCCTGTGTCATCAGCATTCATGATGACCAGAGAGAGCTGTGTTTGGATATTTAAAAAGTGTAGGTATAACCACACTACCCATAGCAGTATAGCAAAAAATACTCAGGCCATATAGGAATCCAGCAACCTGGCCAGAATGGGCCAGACTAATTTATCTGTTGAGGAATGTAACTTCATTGTGGGTAAGCTGCCTGTGCTGCATTCCCAGTATCCCTTTGGGAATCAACATGCCCTGAAGTGTTGATGGAAGGAGACAGACACTAATTTCCTCAATGTTTTCCAAATGTGCTAGGATGGGTTCTCCCTCATACCAGGCAGCTGAATTCACAAGAGCTGTGTTTAAAAGGAGCATGCAGGAAGCACTTGTCAGGAGTAACAGTATGACTTGCCAAACTGAGGCACAGGCATGTGAAGCTCTCAACCCCCAGCAACAAATAACATGGAATGTACAAATCAGTGCTCTACAAAAAACCCATCGTAACCCCAGAACTATAGATTTTTTTTTTTTATTTCAAGCATCTAGAAAATGAGAGAACAGAAGTTAGGTTATTAAGAGGATAAGCTAAATGACAACCACAGTTGAAGAAATGGAGAAGGACATGTAATTATTCCTACCTTGCCATTGCTATGCCAACAACACAACCTCCAACTATAGACCAAAATCCAATCCAGCCTGCATCTACCTGACAGGAAAAACAAAACAAAACATAGAGAAATGTGTTAAAGAAAATAAGATGATAAGATGTTACTTTCAAAACAAACAGTGTGCAGAAGCTGCAAACTGCAAGCAACAGCCCCCAACAACAATCTGAAGTGCAGGACTTTTTCTAGGATATACAAAAGGAAATAAAGTCACTAAAAGAAAGCATGACTAAGTAGCCCATGCCCTAAATGTGACCTCTTTTTATAGAATCTCAGTAAGGGCCTCTGGATTTTTATAATACTCGATCAAAAGCTTGGAAATCCTCTTCTCCCTACTTCATCTTTTCCACTTGGTAAACATTATTTTCTTTTACTAAAGGTGCAGCAGCCAACAATACTCCTGTTTGTTTACCTGCCTCTTTCTTCTTGTCAAAAGGTGTGTACAGTTCTGAAAACACCCACCGCTGGTGGAGAGTCAGCAGGGAGAACTGTGACAGTTTGGGATGCCAAAGCTACAGCTTGTTTTGTTTAAAATTTCAGGAGAAAAGTGGTCCATATGTATTAATATCAGCTTAAACATAAAAACTTGATAAAATTGTATGCTAATGCAAAATAAAAAACATAACGCTTACAAAATAGTTGCTGATTATCAGACAGGAGATACTTACTTGGCTTACGTGAACTGGTGTTAATATCAAATCCAGAACACCAGACCAGCCAGAGAAAACACCCAGTGGTATAGCATAGGCTAAAGCAATCATCAAGAATCTGAAATTGCTGTGAAGACAGAACACATGTAATTAGCTGCAGCTTATATTAGAAATTGCACCAAGATTAGCTGCTAGAGTAAATGACACCCTAGAATCTATATTCTCCCCATTAAGAAAAACAGCAGAGGTCTGAAGAAGGAGTGAACCAGAAAAAACAAGAAAGGTATCCAGCCATGTCACTGAAATCCCAGTGACTAAGATGTTACTGCCTTAGCACTGTGATAATAAAAAAGCCAGTCTCTCCACACAGTTCAAAGATTTTTGTAACATGCTGGGCTCATGGGTTTCTCATTTCCACAAGCAATTCTTCCGTGCATTTGCATGGGCAATCTGCTTAAACTAAGTGTGTGTTAGGAACAATAAGCACTAATTTAAATGACAAAAAGCATATTTCAAGAATGAAATCAGAGATTCATACTTTTTGAACTACACTTTTTTTAGAAAACCCCTGTTTTACTTTTTTTGGTGAAAGGCAGGGAGAGCTCTGGGAATGAGATGGGTACAGTTGCAAGAGTGGAAAATTTTGACAGTTTGATCTGTCAAAAAACAGAGACAAGTATAATACACTGCTCTAAATAGTCAACGTGTTTGCTTTTTCCCCCCAATTAAAATTATTCAACCTTTAGTATTCAGTGAAGATGAAGTAGTCAAAGCTGTGTAATCACCTTCATCGTACACAGCTAAACAGGAGTTGGCAGACAAATACCACCACCAATTTCCCTCACCCACCCACTGTAACCAAAAGCAAATGTGAAATCTTTGCTAAGAGGCATCCAACTTTCCTCAAAAATGTTTCCATTTGGGAATAAAACCAGAAAATATACTCTGGACTCTGCAACAGTGATATTTTAAAGCAAAGAGGTTTTACGGCAATTCCAAGGTTATCCCATGGGATATCTGTGTAACCACAAAATGTCATTCCCCCCATTCCCAAACAATTTACGTAAAATCGATCCTGATCAGTATCAAGTCCCTTGGTATGAAGTGGCAATTTGATAGCACACAGTTACGAAAGCCAAGAGGGAGGGAAAGCGCTTCAAATACTCTCCAAAACATTCAGAGGTTTGCAGCTTACGCTGTTTTGCTCCCCTAGAAGATCCACGCACAGCACACCAACCAGCATTTTTTTGCACTGTTCTTCTTCACACATCCTCTTCTTGAACAACACATTGATGAACATATCCTCCTCTTTCAATATCATTCATGTTGGATTTATTTTTTAATGCAAAGAAAAACAACTCCCAAACTTTCAGCTCTTCCACACACTGCTTACATTTCTCTGAATGCTAAAGCATTTGCTGCCTTCCTGACAATTTCTTTTCTCTCTTAAGAATGCTATACTCATCCTAGTCTATCTCGTATCATCTTGGCATCTCTTAAGGAAGGTTTTCTGATGATTTAAAACTATCCATGTAAAAGCTAGTCCAATATCTGTAGAATAAAATAAAAGGGAAAATGCCCATTTTGCACGGACATTATATAGCCACATCACACATTGCAAAGAGGGAACAAATGTGAATGTGCTGTTCCAAAATAACACTTGCTTGATACGCAAAATCTTTGGGTATCTGGACCTCGTCTTCATTAAAGAGCTACTTTTGGTGGAAGTGAGTACTTTGTAACTTACTTGACCAAGATCTCTTGTGCTGTATTTGTCTTCTGTAAGTCAAGCCATGAGACAGACCGGCACGTGGGATAGCTGCTCTGTGCCACGTGCAACTCCTAGTCCCAATACTAGAGAACCAACTCTGCATCATGACACCCTCCAGCAACAGGGGCTCCCACACTGCCACCCTGCCTAGTCTCCAGATTAAAGAAGGAAAAGGGAACAGGAAAAAGGGTGCATGGCAGTGACAAAGCAGCATTGATCACCACATGCCATCCTGTCCCCTTGTCCAGCAATAGCTAGCGCTGGCTACATTAAGTGCTAACACTATTGGAAACACGCATCTTAAGTAGCAGCTCCACTTTTCATGGCTCCAGTCACTTGTATTTGTTTTTGCAATTGCTCCACTGAAAATAGAAAAATGTGCTGTCTGTCACACCATCAGTCAGTGAACCCACACTGTTTTCCATCATATCAGCCCTCAGGACCAGATATCAGCATCAGCCTCTCTGTTAAGCCACTCTGCTAGAATACAAATTGGCTTTTTCTTCTTCTTTTTTTTTTTTTTTTCAGAAACTTACTTAATGCCACTAGAATCTGTAAGACAGGCTGGTTCAGAGAGGAATCCCGTCAAAGTCAGTCACCATTTTCAGAATAACTTTGACAGCACCTATTAACATCAGGCACACTCTGAGCAGCTGCCATCACTGGATGGTAAAGTCATATGAAAGTCTCATTAAAGAAATAATGATGCACAAAAACCCTGTTATGAAATTTCAAAATTGCTTACATAGTCCCTTGAAAATATAAAAGGCACAAAACCAGCTAAAAGCATCTAATTACTTCAAAGCAAAAAATCACAACATGTTTCTTAATGTAGGTATTAAGACTTATCAATTATTTACTTGTATTAGAATTTTTTCTATGGAAGTTTGTGGCATATTCTGAAATAGGGGGGGAAAAAAAAAAAAGTCATATTTGCCTCACCCAAGAAACTGAGAAAGGGCACTGTACTTTTCCTGATGGAAATTCAAACTACACTTGTCACAGTGTGTGATAGACTGTTAAAAGATTTGGGCTTAGCTCCCAAACCATGACTAATTTGTCATCTCCCACTGCAGGCTGAGAGAGTTGGCATCAGGAAATAACCAGAGATCAGCTAATCATTATAATCTGTGAGAAGCAGGAGTCCTCCATATCATGAGGAAGAACCAAGCTCCTGAGCAAGTCCCAAAAAAAAAAAAATGGCCTACAGAGGATGGTTGACCCTAAGAAGATACGTATAACACAATTTTGCAAGAAGCAGCTCATGTAGATAACTGCTCAAAGACCCGAAGGTATGAAGGAGTGTGGGAGTTGTAAGGATGTGATAGATCCCAAAAGGTCAATGGCTTCAATGGTAAAGTTATGGTAGGCAGCTTTATTTTGAAGTAATAAAACTGCAGCCTGGGGGAGAGAAGAGGGAAATGATGAACATCTCAATACTCATGAGTGTTTTTTGGTTGGGTCAACCCCTGAGCTTACACACATCCTAAACCCCTTACTGTTCTCATACCAGAGGGTAAATCTGCAATAAAAGGGAAATCATTACTTCCTGGTACTCATCAGCTGATCACCTTCAGTCTACACCATTAAATCAAAAGAAAGACTCTGTATGCCAAGAATTATGAAGCCTAGATTAGGCATGCAACAGAGGTTAGAAGCCTAATGAACAAGATGATGTATTTCTCTTGAAGCACAGCAGATACCATTTTCTTTTCTAAAACTCCATGCTTGATGGATTGCTGCTGAAAGGTTCCCCAAGATAAGTAGCTTTAATGATGAACTGTTGATTGTTTCATGTACAGAGGAATGAATAAGTGCCTTTGATAAGGGGTAGCATGGAAGAATGTATAAAGACCAGAGGGAAGGGAGATATAATGATTTACCTGACTGCATTTTAAAAAACCTCTTGGTTCTTGGAGACACTATAAACTATGCCCATTATTTAAGCATCCAGTCTGTTTTCCTAAGTGTCATTAAGCATGAATAGTAAACCAGCTCTGCTGTTTACCTCCTGACCTTACCAGTATGTCAGGTCCACTGTTGAACACTTTGAACAAGCAATCTAATGGTTATAAAGCTCCCAAATGGAGTACTGTCAACAGAAATTTTATATTTCACCTGCAGTCAGTTGCTGTTTGGATTTCTGTTCAATAGCAACATTTTTACAACAGAGCCCTCAGGCAGGGTCTTACTGCACACCAGCCTGGGTGCATAACAGCATTACTGTGTGTGCTCAGTGTCTTTATAGGAACTGCTCTTTTTTAATAACCAGAGTAGGTGTCACTTTGCAGACTAACCAGCCAGCTGCATCCATACCTTCTCCTAACTGCCAGCCTGCTCCAGAACGAACACACAGGATTAAACATCTTGTCAACTATTTAATCCTGGAAACTGAAACAAAAGCTTCCAAAAACACCAGAAAAAAATGCATGACAACAAAGGATGAGTTGTTTTTGCTGGCTCTAAATACAGTTCTAGAAAGTACAGCCTACAATAGGTCTGTAATAACTAAATGCCTAAAGCTCCACAATTATCAAGTTTCAAGCAGCCCTTTGTGCACAGATTCAGCTCCTATTGCTACATCACCCAATAAACAACTACAGCAAGAGCTTGAAGCCCTCCAGTGAAGTCAGCCACACTCCACACCATGGAAGTGGTTCTTCTTTGCCCCAGGAATTTCATCTGTGCAGTATCACATACAGGGCCCAGGCCTTTACAATCATTCATTAATAATATTACAGTTGCTTTATATGTTTCTCTGAGATCAGATCCACATTACACTGGACATTCTGCAAACACTGGGGGGATGGGATTGCGTGTTACCAAAAGAGTCCAAGTGGAAGAAGTTGCAAAGCTGAAGGTGTCACTGTCTTTATAACTTTTTTTTTTAAAACCCAAAATTTAAAGGAAACTAATTCACCTTTGAATCTGTCCAGAAACACACCTGGGGACACTTCTATGTCCACTTCATATTTTAACATATAATTAATGGCATTTAATAGATTATACAATGGTTTCAGATGGTTCATTCATTGCTCCCATGGCTGAATGAAAGAAGCTGGATACTCCTTTGAATGACAAGCAAACCTCAAATTCATTCCAATATAATAAGCACAGAAGAAAGCAGCCTATTAGTTAGTTATGGCCAGTCTTGTTAATTGTTATCGCACCACTAGCAGCACGCACACTGTTAACAACCTCATATAACCTGATGTAACAGAAGCATTGCATAAAAAAAGCCATGCTAACAGGATGACTAAAGCAGTGTTGGTGCTGAAGCACTCTGGCATGAAGGCTTGAGTATACCAAATGATTTAAAATTTAATGTCTGTTTTTTAGCAGTTAGCATCCTTTTATGTCACAGCATTAATATTTAATTTGATTTTGTTTAAAAGCACTACAAACCAACTTGTTTGTTCAATGAGAAGATTAAAGCACACTCGTTTTTATTTATTGAGATGCTGATCTGCTTTGAAGTGGAAACCCAATGAGGACTTACCTTAAGAGTCTGCAAAAACTTCTCCTGTAGCTGAGCCGTTGACTTGCTGCAGCCACGCTGGGAGGGAATGGAGGGCGCGAGGGGAAGTAGGCCAATGCTGCAGAAAATATCAGGGAAACCATTCCAAATTCTAAACAAGAGGGCAAAGAAAAACAAAACCGAGAACAGATGTTAGCATCAAAAGACTTATTTCTGTACAGCATTGTTATCAGCCAGCCTCTGATACATATATCCCACCACAAGTGCTTTACTGCTGCTGACAACAGAACTCTGTAACTTGAAGTAGAATTTCTTTTTTCCTCCCCAAGCAAGATTCCAAATTGAGATGAAGTATCAATGAGATGGAGAAATACTGGCAGTCCATTCCAGTGACAGGAGCTGCAGAGCAACAGGCTCACACATGGGGAACTCAGTGCAGCAAAAAAAGAAAGCTTTTGCTTTTTCTCTCTCAAGAGAACTGCATTCCCAAGACACGTTTCCTCGTGATGGAAGTAATGCAGTGCAGGTAACAGGGTGCTAGAGACTCTAAACAGATGGGATTGGGGAAGCCCCGGGGCACAGAATGACAATTACTTGGTGCACAGGATGACGAAGCCAAATGAAAGGTCAAGCAAAGCAGCATCTTGGACACAAACAGCATTACATGGCAATAGAATATAACCAGAAAAGCGTAGGAGCAGCCATGGCTCAGGAACAGAGGCAGCATGGGTAACAGGGAGAAAAATGAAAGAATACAGCTGTTTGCAGATGCTTCTCTTGTTCAGCAGCAGGTATTCTAGATCTTTGAAACATTTCACAGCAGAAATTTGGACCTGAACTTGCAAAGCGATGAGCACTTCACAGCAAATACTCAGCAAGCCTCGTCATCAGACATTCTGAGGAAAAACAGCTCTCCCACAGTCAGTCTAATTAATTTGTTTTACAGGCCTTTTACAATGTATATCATGTTCTCCACAGTCCTAAGTCCCAATATTTCTCCTGTCCCCTTTGAAAACAAGATTCTTTGCTGCTAGAGAGAAAAATGTGTAGCTGAAGTGTGTTATCTTAAAAGAACCTGTGATCTTATAACAAAGAAGTATTCACCAACACCACAAATAAATTCCAGCAGAGCTGGATACTCAATTGCATTAATTTTCATTTTTCTTCTCTTTTTTAATAAATCAATATGAACACGGCACTTTGCCAGCTCTTCTGCTAAATCAGAAGAAAATAAATTCAGGAAACTGAAAAGTAAATAACATTCAGAGTCTAAATGGATCAGCTGGAGATAGGGAAGGGAAATGAATGCTTCTATTTGGTATATGGAGAAGAGGTCTACACTAAATTTCCTTTGAAGGCATACTGGGAATGTGACAATGCCATTCTTCACAATCAAATACTAAAGGATTCATTTTGAATAACGTGGGGTGTCTTTTTCCTGCTGTGGTCTAATTGCATGTTTCAAGGGTCAAGGGCACTTTAACTAGACCTCCTCACTGTATCTGCTCTGTTCTCCAGAAAACAGATTAATTTCTATCTTCATATACATTGTTTTCAAGACCATGAAGAGCCAATAAAGAACTGATCATCCCAGATCTAAGAAAGGATAAGATACTCTGCCACTAAAGGATGATACTTGACAGGGAAGCAAGGCTTGCCAAAAGCTGTTTATCCCTGCACTTAAGTCTACATATAGGTTTATAGGTATACATATGTACATCCATAAGCACACTTTAATCACATTTTAAAGGAAGACTTCAGACTGCAGACAGGTATAGCCAACAAGAATGTGACCACACAAAACCATTAGCTTCATCCAAGGTGCTTATTATTTAACTTTATTATACTGCAGTGGCATGAGGGGAAAAGCTATGTCTTTCTCTAAAGAATGCAAAACACGTTGATAATTTTTTTAAGTCACAGTAATATTTTATAGCAGGTGCCCATCTGGGGCCTCTTCTATGGGTTGCCTCAAGATCCCTGCCAGTCAAACTGCTGCAGTAGGAGCAGTATAGTAACACTTAATTTTTTTATTATTATTAAATCCAGCATGCACTCCTTGTAGTACCTCCTTGCACCTCTTTAATGTTTCCCAGTGTTATACTTCCCAGGCGAATAAATTTGCCTTGCAAGCACTGCCCTCATGCACAAAAGAGCAGAATTCACTTTGGAAACTAAAGCATTGAAACTAAACTACTGAAGAATAAGTCTTTAGTGCCATCTTAGCTTTGTGTATCACACTTGCATCTCTATCAAAAGTCCAGGTACTGCCAAACATATCTGACTTTGTACACGTTGCATTGCTTCCTCATTAGGAAACCCAAGCTTTTATTTCCATCATCATTTGCTCTACCAGACTAGATAAAGAAAAATATAGACGTTCCCAGGCCAAGTTTTAGACTGTAAGTAGGAAATAGAAGTAAGCAAAAGGTAAGAACTAGGTCAATAATGAGACCAAAGGAGCTGCAGTCACAAAAGAGGAACTCTTCTACAGGAGCGGACTATTGGCTTCTCAACAGTGCAATGGTTGCAGCAAATTACTTAGAACTGGGCACGTCAGCATAATTAATGTGCAGAAATACAGCCATGTATATCTCTTGTTGAAGAGTGAATCTAGAATGCCTCACAAAAGCTGGGTACCACGTCACAGAGACCTGTGACTGTCAAAGTGAAGAGATGCCTGGATTTTAGCCTAGGAAGCAGGCACCCTGCTGCCTGTGTAAGCCCCAAACAGAAGAGAGAGAAAGAAAAAAAGAAAAAAAAAAAAAAGGTTTACAGAGGCACAAGACTCCTTGATACAAGGTCTTTTTCCTTTTGATAGGCTCCTCATAGCACAAAAACCGACCCAAAACCAGAGACCCTCCTCCCCATCTTGTGCTGAAGGGGAATGAGGGCACTTTACATACACACACATTTTTTTTAAAGAAATAATGATTTTAGATTTTTATCTAGGACAGCACATGGCTAAAAGCTCTGCCTGAAGTCCAGAATAATTCAAGCTTACTTATGCAGTTCAGGTAATACAATTCAATCCTGATTTGCTACATCCATACTATTCCAGCTGCGAACCAGAACATGCTGAGATACAGATGGCACAGAAAGAGGCTGTGGTAGTTCAGCTGAGCTCTTAGTCAATGTTTGAGATAAAGGAACAGTAATTTATTAAAACACAGAAGAGACAGGAGTTAACAGAGCAATTTCAGAATGGGTTTATAAGCAATTGCTTTGTAATCACGTTTGAGGTTAAGTCCTTGGAAAATCAGCACACTCTTGGCATGCTACTGATCCCAAGTTAACAGTTACCACCTTTTAAAAGTCACCACCTAACTTTTGGAGGCTGCTTATCTAACGCTACCTTACACAACAGTGACAACCTCCATCACAAACACAATCCCAGAGTGTTTCTCCAGTGAAACTGGCTTTCCCATGGTATTGGAAAGGAAAAGTTCTAGCAAGCCCACCCACATTTGCTAAAGAGTGGGGAAATGGGACACTTGGGTCCAACTCCTCCTTCTGCCACATTCTGGAACACTTTTCCTAGTAATCAGTGAAGTCAATTGGAGCTTCATTTTCTGCCCAGCTGATTAAGGTGATAAATGGTACTCCACCACACCTATCAGGTATTTTTGGTCCACATGTGAACAGAATTGTACAACTACCCTGAAGCAGCCTTCCTTCCACTTCTGGAGTGTACCTGGCATAGGAGAGCACAGGGGAAGTGCACAGTGGGGACCTTGTTCCTCCAGCTCTCCAGAGAAACAGGGCTGAGGTGAGACAGGACAAATCCCTCCAGGGATTCAAAGCAACCTCCTCTTTGACAGTTCCTACCAGTTTTAAACCAGTTGGATGTTTTGCTACCATCACTGTGATTCACTGCAGGCCAGTAACATTCAGGAACCAGATCTTTTTCATTGCCTGAACAGCAAAAGGAGCTGTAGCTCCTGAAAAGACACATCCCATGCAACACAATTACAATTGCAGTTGCACAGAGAAACCCATCTCTGTTCAAAGCACTTGCAAATACTAAGTAAGAACTACAGATGCCCCACAAAACACATTTCCTATGAAGCTGAAGAGCTGCTGTAGGATCATCTTATGCTTGGATCAATGATCCCAAGCAGGTTTATGGGATGTTCCCAAACCCTCACCTGCTCAGAAAGGCAGAAAGAGCCATGCTGAGACATGGGGCAGGCAAGACACACCTGAATCCTGGTGGCAGGCAAGATCCATCACAGTTCTGAAGAAAATGCTTAGGAAAAACTCCGAGAAGAGAACAGGGGAGAAAGTGAATCTAACGGGCTGCTGAAAGCAACTTTTCTAGTGCTACCCGATTCAAAAGAGTGGTTTTAGAGATAAAACTGTACTTCCTTTAAGCGGGTGAATTCTTCTCTGTCCATGGAAATCTAGAGAGAGGGAAGGCTAAAGCACTTCTCTAATCACTAGATTTTTCTTCCCCTTATCCACTGCTCCTCAGGACAAAAGCTGACTTGCCTTCATTTTGTCCTTCTTTCAAACTGGCTGCTTTCATCTGCCATGAGATCTTTGGAGTCTGTCATCACATTTACCTCTCAAAAAGGCCTAACCAAACCCAAATTTCCTTGTTCCAATACATTTGAGTCCAGTAAAAAGTAGGTTACTTGTTGAAATAGTGATCCAACTTCTTCTATGCTTTCTCTAAAACGAACATTAAAGCAGCCCTCACCCAACAGGAGTTGTTGAGTATTAACTCGACAAAATTTCTGTAAGAATAATGTCCAGGAATAAGTGATCACAAAGAGCTAATTCAATCCCATAAACCTGCATATAAACCACACAGTATATATACTTTAAGACTTCTGGAATGCCTAGGGCTAACTGCTGGCTGAATTTCAGAGGCTGCAATTATAATGGGGGAAAAACCCAACTAAATGTCCAACCACTATGACATGGTAAAATACAGCTGCTCTTAATGCTATACCAATTTATATCCACTAAGAAGCAGATCATAGACTCTCAAGCAACTCTTTTTCCTTAAAGCTTGCTGCTAATTTTTGTAAGTGACACAAAGAACTATAGAAGCCATTGCAGGAAAAAAAGTAAGGACATAAAATGTAAGTTACATGAGGTGAATTTTATATCAGTGTTTTTTTCCACTAAACTGTTGTCACTTCATTGATATTGCTCACCACATAAGAATTATGCAGTTTTTGTTAAAAACAAAATCTACTGAATTTTAATTTTAGTATCAGATTCTTAAATACTAACAATGTAATCAAATTTGAAAGGCATATGCACGTCATAAATTAAGGCTAATTCAATATAGGAAAGAATTTAATGCTGAAAAACTAATCCTTACAAAAACAAAAGAAAAAACCCAACCTGTCATGGACACATTTTTAAAATGAAAATTTAAGAAGCAAAAAACAGTTCGGAAGCTCAGAAAAAGCGTAAACTCTCCTAAGTTCAGCCGATACAAACAACTGAAACACTTGGAATCATCTGTACAAAAGGCTATTTTTAAATCTTTCCTACACAAAAGGGAAAAAAAATTAACCCTTCTGATGGTGCACCATTTTACTACTTCATCATTTTCCACCAGTCAGTAGCTGTTTTCTGTGCAGACCAGCCACTAGAGGGTAGTGGTTCACAAGTACCAAACACACTCACAAAAGTATGTACATTTTTTATAATTTTTTTCTTAAAAAAAAATAAAAAATATTAAAACCACACCTGCATACAGCACAGCCTCAATACGGTCCTTGATGTGCTCAGTGTTGCTCTGCGATACAAGCAGGAGGTGAGCCGATCCATTGGGAGGTGGCACTACAAGAGGTCCCACTAGAAAGGCGCCAGCAGCGCCCAGGTAATTGAGTAGCGATGCGATGGCTGTTGCTGTGGCACGTTCATCTGGAGAAAACCACGTCGTGGAAAGAAATGGTGCCGCGTTCATCACAGTTGGCCCCGCCAAGCCATTTAACAGCTGCCCTCCATGAATCAGCCTGGAACAGAGAACAGAAACCACAATCATTTGGATGACAATTGCTTGCTGGTTTTTTGGGTTTTTTTAATTAAAAAAAGCATGTAAGATATTGAGTGCTGGAGATGGAGCGACTGCACAAAGAAATGAAAGTCCTGTGCAAATTAAAAAAAAAGGATATTCTATATACTAAAAGAAGCCCAATTAGACTGATTTAAAGAATCCAGAGCTACTCTGTTCTCATTACCTCAGATAAATGGAGAAGCAAATGTTCTCTTCAAAGCAGGAAAGGAAGAGGAAGAGGGAATAAAAGGAACTTTCTTTGCAGAAAAAAGGTAAAATGAAAGGATGCAAAAGTAGGAAAGGCGTAGTAGCAGGAAAGCTTTAAATTACAAAAGTTTTAAACCTGACCCCTTGCCTGCATAAATCTCAAGAGAATATTTAAATTAGTTATGGCAGAACTAAAACTGAAACACTTTAGTAAAATAGTCTGCATATTTTTTCACTGCATTATTTATTTTTATTTACACACTCAGATGAGCTCTATGTGCCTACAGATGAGGAGGCCGGGCTGTTGAGGTTTCCAAGAGAATCGTCTTCTCCAGCAATCTGGCCATTCTCAACACACTGTTGAAACAGCCAAGCAAACACAGATTCTTCTCGTTTTTCACACTCATTGGGATTTAACAGATAAGACTGGTGACAGAACAGAGATAGTACTTCCAAGCAGACTCTAAAAACTTTGGCTTAATATTCGTAAAATGAGCATATACAGAAAGGACTTTTTGAAGGCTCTTCTACACGTGGAAGTCAGCCAGTAACCTTCCACTTTGACTTTTCCAAAACGTGATCAGCCGTGAAAGGCAAAAGCATTTTGGAATTTATATAAAAACTTCATGTCTAAAAAACAGCTCACGAGTCAAACAAAACATTGCAACCCTCCAAAGTAGATCTCTCCATTGTGCAACAAAATGGTGGCAGATGATATTTTTAAATGGGTGGTGTTTTTCTAAGCATAGCAGGAACCCAATGTTATTGTGGCAAAACTTGAGTTGTCAGACATTAAAAGTTATGGCTTGAAAATGGGGAAACATAAGCTAGCATTTAGGCAATGTTTCAAGCCACAAATGGATGAATAATATACAGCATAGCAAGAGTTTTTTAAACCACACAAAGGAACAAAATAGGCAAAAGAAATACTAACAGACTTTATCAAATTAACAAGCTAGCTTGCAATTAAAAGGAATAGATGCTACTGCTTCTCAGTGGATTAGAAATTAAATTTTTAAACCAAATTTATAAAAATACATCAGAAAAAAGAAATCAATTACATATAATCTGAAGGAAACACTTTCCAAGTCAGGACAGAAGTAATATTACCTCTTAAATATAAGCAATT